GATAGTCTAGGGAACATACTGTATTAATGTACTCTACTGCATATAATTTGTGAACATTTACATGATTTGTACACTTTGAACTCCCTTTCAGGCTGAAAGGGACTTAAAAAATTCATACCGAGAGATTCTTTAAATTCTCCTCTAATATATATTCTATTCTCTATGTTTAATATACATGTTTCTCATGACTTCTATGTTTAACAGCTTAAAATAAATGAAAATTGAAATCGAGAGTCATCTTGATTGTGTGGATAAAATCGCCTACCACTGTACATGAAAATATTGGTTTCATTTTAGATAAAAAGGTTTAGCAAAGAAAAAGCAAAACCACATCTTTTTGTATTCTTTAGCTTCAAGAGGGAAAAAATTAATGATATTCCTTTATAGGTAATCAAGGGTATGACGCTGGCATTGTTGCCCCCCCCCCTCCCCTCTCCTTTGTATAAAATCTTGAAAATCTTTTTAAAAATACCGGGATCAATCGTTTAGCTAGAATTTTAGCAGCAAGACGACATTCAACTACTCGGCTGTTGAACTCATTGCTAGCTGCTTTATTCTTCTCCTGAAATATTACAACAAATGTTAGACTTCTTATCTTAGCTATAGGTTAATATTTGCCAAAAATAAAAGATGGTATAAAATGCAACATAATAAAATTATTATTATGTATAGATCAAATCAAATTAAACGAAATAAAATCAAATCAAATCAAATCAAACCCAAATCAAAAAATCAATTAAAATTGAATCGAATCGAATCAAATCAAAACAAATCAAATCAAATCAAATCAAATTCAATTCAAATCAAATTCAATCAAATCAAATCTTATCAAATAAAAATTATCTTTTAGTTAAGTGGTTAAAAAAACTCGCAGGCATATTTAAAATATCATTCAATAAGCAGTTTATTTAAATTTTTTCTCATTTTTCCTCTTCATTTACAAGTATCAATAATTTTCATTTTTCTCTATAAATAATTCAAAGTTAATTTACCTGTAAGCTGTTAGCAACTACGAAAACTGCTCCAACAGGAAGCTGTACATCATAACTCTAGTTACAGAGAACAGTTAATATGTTTATTAGTTTGGCCAACCAGTAAACATAATCTTAATGTAACTTATAAAGTAACATTGACTTTGTCAATCCACCCTCGCAATTTTTCCTAATTGAAAGAATGAAAGAATGAAAGAATGAAAGAATGAAAGAATGAAAGAATGAAAGAATGAAAGGATGAAAGGATGAAAGGATGAAAGAATGAAAGGATGAAAGAATAAAAGAATGAAAGAATGAAAAAATGAAAGAATGAAAGAATGAAAGAATGAAAGAATGAAAGAATGAAAGAATGAAAGAATGAAAGGATGAAAGAAAGAAAGAATGAAAGGATGAAAGAATGAAAGAATGAAA